ATTTTTAGTAGAGACGGGGTTTCACCATGTTGACCAGGATGGTCTCGATCTCTTGACCTCGTGATCCACCCGCCTCGGCCTCCCAAAGTGCTGGGATTACAGGCTTGAGCCACCGCGCCCGGCCCCCAGCTCTAATTTTCAAAGAGCTAAATTTACAATAAAAAAGACGGTACACAACAAATTTCTGTGACAATCCAAAACCCTAAATGCACTTTCAAATCAGGCAAAGGTTTTCGTTTTTTTAAAAAACAGTAAATAACTTATTGCTAAAGCAGAAAGCTCAGCCCAAAACTGCAGCCTCAAACTCTTAGACATTATTTCTTCAGCTACTATGCCAAAAATTTCTAAGTCCTCTAGTTACAAATGTGACCTTTTCTTTGAGACGGAGTCTTGCTTTGTCGCCCAGGCTAGAGTGCAGTGATGATCTCGACTCAATGCAACCTCTGCAGTAAGGAACCCAGGTTCCAAGTGATTTTTCTGCCTCAGCCTCCTGAGAAGCTGCAACTATAGGTGCATGCCACCATGCCCATCTAATTTTTTCTGTATTTTTAGCAGAGATGGGGTTTCACCGTATTGGCCAGGGTGGTCTTGAACTCCTGAGCTCGTGATCCGCCTCCCAAAGTGCTGGGTTTACATGCATGAGCTACCGCACAGGGCCTACAATGTGATCTTAACTACAGTAATGTGGTATCTTATGGGCAGTACTACAAGGTTTCTGGGTCTCCCCATCTTTACAAGTTACACCCTGCTTCTGTACATGAATTCACATTAAGTCAAACAAAAGACTTACATGTTTTAAGGGGTGGGATTCTGTACCCAGAGAGCTAAAAAATGTAATTAAAAACCCTAATTATGCCTTCTCTTTTAGATATTATGTGGTATTTCCACTTTACTGTACATGTCCTTCCACTGTCTTTTCTTTCACAGGTAAACACAAGCATGCCACTTACATCTAACTGGTGTCTAACTGAAGCAGCACCACTTTGACTCCATTATATAACTCTGTGAAATTCACTACTTACTAATAACTCACATTCAGTCCTTCCTGTCACTTTATGCTTTTTAAAACGTAGTTCTCTCCAAATAACCACACAAATGCTATACATGTTTGTATACTCATGGCAATATTGGTAAAATAACTGGATGCAGGTGGCAGCACCACTAACCCCTTTATGTTAGATGCTACACAAAAAACCCCAAGTCAGGGTGCAGTTCCACCATGTCAACGAGCATGGACAAAATGCACCCTGGTCAACACATGTATCTATTAGAGTAGGGGACCATATCTATGTTACCTGTGCTGTAGACTCAGGAATCTGTACAGGTAATTCTTTTTTTTTTTTTTTTTTTCCTCAAAATGGAGTTTTGCTCTTGTCACTCAAGCTGGAGTACAATGGCACAATCTCGACTCACTGCAACCTCCACCTCCTGGGTTCAAACGATTCTCCTGCCTCAGTTTCCCAAGTTTCTGGGAATACAGGTGTGCACTACCACCAGCCTGGTGGCCAGACTGACTCCTGACCTGAGGTGATCTGCCCGCCTTGACCTCCCAAAGTGTTTGGATTATAGGCGTGAATCACCACGCGTGGCCACTACAGATAATTCTCAATACTTTTTTATTTTTTCAGACGAAGTCTCACTCTGTCACCAAGACTAGAGTGCAATGGCACGATCTTGGCTCACCGTGACCTCCGCCTCCCAGGTTCAAGTGATTCTCCTGTCTCCGCCTTCCTAGTAGCTGGGATTACAGGCGCATGCCACCATACCCAGCTACTTTTTTGGTATTTTTAGTAGACATGGGGTTTCACCATGTTCCCCAGGCTGGTCTCGAACTCCTGAGCTCAGGTAATCTACCTGCCTCAGCCTCTCGAAGTGCTAGGATTACAGGAGTGAGCCACTGCGCCTAGCCGGTTCTCAGTATTCTTTTGTTATTGCCACAAAATCAAAAGTGAAATTGTTTTATGGAAGAAATATTTCTCTTTTCTATAGAACCTTGAAAAATAATTTTATTCCAGTTCAATTACTATAATGAATTCACCTCTGTTTAAACTATTCAAACACCTGGTCTAAGTCCTTCTGATCAGCCACCACTGATGATAGTTACTCTTAAAACATTTTTGCTTATTTCTCATACACACCACACACACACACACACACACACACACACACACACACACACTCTCTCTCTCTCTCTCTCTCTCTCTCTCTTTTAAAGATAGAGTCTCTGGCCGGGCGCGGTGGCTCAAGCCTGTAATCCCAGCACTTTGGGAGGCCGAGGCGGGTGGATCACGAGGTCAAGAGATCGAGACCATCCTG